TACCTAAGCATATAAAAATATTTAACTTAAATTGTTCTGTAGTACTTATCAGTTTAAAAACCCTCAATTCACACTCTCGTGGTCTTACCTCAAATCATACTCCTAAAGCCAAATGTCTGCTCTCGCTAGCCCATAAGTGTTTAGAAAGCATCTTTTTGAAAACTAAATAAATCTAATTCGTTTTAAAGCGCTCTTGTTTTATTTAAATCGAATACCTAACTTTAGCTATCCGGTTAAAACCTCACACTCTCGTGGTCTTGATTTCTCCCTATTTTACTTTCCTTACTCTCGTAACAAAAAGCTTAATTTTTAATTATAAAAAGTCACGGCCAGAAATTAAGTTAATTAAGGTTTTAGCTTAGAAATACATTAATTCATTCGGTTATTTCATCACACCCCGACTACGGGTATTTAGCTACTCATAATGCTCAGAATTAAAATGTGGGAAATAAAATCAGAAAACAATAACACATGCATTATAAATAAAGAACATAAATTTAACATAAATAAATTGCAATTATATTGAATACGATAAAAACCTGAAAAGCAATAGTATCCTAGATCCTTCTTCCACAAGCCGGTAAGATCGGAACGTCAGAATGAAAATTAAATAAACAAAATGCTGAGGCTTGAAAGAAATCCTAACTACAATAGCAATTTCCTGATGTTGGAAATGCTATTAAAGGTTCTGAAAGGAAAGGGAATAACAAGAACAAAATAAAATCGGAAAATAGAATCGGGTTTTAAATCGGCAGAGCTTCCGCAAGAATTTTCTGAACTGAACTCTGTAATTTCTTCTTTGAAGTCCAAGCTATTTATAGAGAATGAATACAGTTGGGATTATATTTCACGTTGCTAGATTCTTGGCTTGTTGAGAAAAATAAGGAGAAGGTGGTCTTGGTCGTTGGAGAAAAATAAGGCACACATGCATGCTTCGTTACTTGACCACGTACTGCACGTTCAAAATAACTAATAAAATGCTTGTTACGGTCGTGGCTGGTGTGTTACGTGCAGATTCCATGAAATAGCGTGTTACGGTCGTGGCCAATGCATGACGATCATAACACGCTTCTGAAGTGTCTTACGATCGTGGCAAGGGTGTGACGACCGTAATAGCAGCAAATTTTGGATTTTTGACAGATTTATCTTTTCTCTTCTGGTCTTGGCCTCAATCTTGTACATTTCATGTTTCTTTCTAGTTTGAGCTAAGATATGTTGTACCTGCATAAAATCATACAAAACTCGGAGTATTCGGGAGTTAATCGGGTCAATACGATATAAAGCGGTTTAATTTCATAATAAATATATGATACGATTTCTCGTTATCACACCCCCCCTCCCCCCCTCTGTAAATAATTTCAGTCAGATTAACCTTAAAAACTCACCCCCATGGTGAAAAGTAACATTAAAAGGTTAAAAATCTTGTGAATAAATCAAACCCAGTAATCAAAAGGTTACCCTAATATTACACATTAGATGTGATGAAGTTTAAATATCAACTTACCTTAGACATTGTAAGCTTCGTATTCGTCTTCGTCGTCGCCTGAGCTTCGTCTTCTTCGCAGCTCAAACTTTTTCACATGAATCCTAAATTTCGCAAGGGGATTTTTGAAACATATATACCAACTAGACTATCAATTGAGTAAATGAAAATGCCATGTGTGTTAATAGAAATACCATGTCGCCTAATCCTTCTTGAATTTCTAAAATTTTAGTCCATAACCGAAAACTGCCATCCTTATACCCCCACCTACTCACAAACTTCAGAATAATATCCATTGTCCAATTAGTAACTTCTAGCCCAGTTACAATCGAATCAACTCCCTTCTGTAAATAATTTTAGTCAGATTAACCCTAATAAATTTATCCCATGGTAAAAAGTAATATTAAAAGATTGGAAATCCTATGATTAAATCAAACCAAGTAATCAAAAGGTTACCCTAATATTACACGTTAACTATGATGAAGTTTAAAAATTAACTTACCTTAGATATTTCAAGCTTCGTATTCGTCTTCGTTGTCGCCTGATGCTTCGTCTTCGTCATCGCCTGAGCTTCCTCTTCTTTACAGCTCAAACTTCTTCACATGAACCCTAAATTTTGCAAGGAGTTTTTTGAAATGTATATATCAACTAAGCTATCAATTGAGTAAATGAAAATGTCATGTGTGTTAATAGAAATACCACACGGAGAGAATTTTAAATTTTGAGTGAAGATTCCATACCACCTGACTAATGGGGGATTATGTCAGGCATAACATAAGGAGGGAATTAAAAAAGAACTTTACTAGAGACTAAAACCTAAACTCGCTAACATTACAAGAAAGTTTGTATATTTAACCTAAGATTCAACGTATAAAAGAAGAGAAAAAATTGTTTATCTAATTCAATTAAATAGATTTATTCTAAAAGAGAGTATATTTCTAATTTATTATACTTTTACATTGTTACAAGAAATTATAAGATTAGTAAAAAAAATAGTTCTCAAAATATCGAAGAACAATACATATTCTCAAACTCTTTTTTATACTTTTAAATTGTTACAAGAAATTATAAGATGAGTCAAAAAAAAAAGTTCTCAAAATATCAAAGAACAATACATATTCTCAAACTCCTTTGATAATTCCAAAGGCTGACAAACTCCAAGAATAAATCCTAAGAATCTCTACTTTTGATTCTTACTAGAAATGTTTTACACCTTGTGCGACTCGTACTAACAATAAGTGAGGGACAATCATATCTATAAATGTTAAAATCCTAAAGACTCAATGCGGGCTCAAAATATGATATATCATTGAATGATCTATGAACTCAATTGAACTAGCTTGTTACCCGTAAACCGCTCAAACCCCAACTAAACTAGCTTGATACATCATCGAACGATCTATGAACCCTCAGACCATCATTCGACTGCCACCCATTTCGGATCTGTGTCGACCCTATTGGGGCACTGCAAATCTTAAGACTTTCAAAGAACCTCCATCAACTTCATCTTCTTTCTCATCTTCATCAAAAGAACTATAAAAAGAAATATCAGAAGTATCATTTGAAAGAATTGTCACGATGTATGAAGGATCCTCTAAAAAATTATCAAATAGGAGTATTTTTGGAGAATCATCAAAAGAAGGTCGTTTGAAAAATCATCATTTCAAAAGTTCATACCAACATACAAAAACTCGTTGCATCTTGTAGTGTTATATTTTTACTGGACTCCAAGAGGGGACAACTTACATAAAGACAGAGAATGCCAACAGATGGGGGAGGGACGAGTCCCCCAACCAAACTCCCAGACGCATTAAATGAGCCATGAGGTTGCCCATAATGGACCAAGAGGTCGCCCAAATGCAGACGCACTAAATGGGCCATGAGGTTGCCCATAATGGACCAAGAGGTCGCCCAAATGCAGCAATACAACCCACCCAATTGGACTCCCATTATCCTAATCGCCCAATAGACGTGGATAATGACATGGATCTACAATGACTAACTAAAGAGAATCATTCAAGAGAGGGAACCACTTTCTCTATGATTCTAGGAGTCTTCCCATGACCACTTCCTTGGTCATAAAGATAAGCCATAACCGCACTTTTAATACTTATGGAGATGCATCTCCAGATTAAATTTTAATGTCAATAAGGTGTCTCTTCAATTTAATCTGAGAAATAGTGAAAATAGGTGCGTCCAAATTAAATCTCCGGAAGCTAAAAACATTATAGACTTTTCCGTGTTGTGGGAGCACCCATAAAGGTGAAAAGCCTTTCCCTAACTTTTTTATATATCTTTTAACATGTATACATCATCCATTTCACAACTCTATTCGAGTTGCTTTGATTTTAAAACTCTATTAATCATAAAACTGGATTTCAATCATTGCAACTGACCTAAGCATTCCTCAAATTTAAAATAAAGTTGTTAGACTAGAAGTTGCTTCATGTTAGCTTAGCCAACCTACCTTTAATTAGTAACCCATGCATCCACCACTTTTGCATAACGTGAAGGCACAAAATACCCAAGTTGTTCCAACGCAGCTTTCACAAAATAATTGACTTTAAACAATTAAATTTCTTTAAATGTTGTAAAATAACATAAGATTTAAATTCAATATAGCAATGATCGTTATTTTTCCAATTGTGCCCTATAATTAGTCTGTACACTTCTTTCAACACAATAATAAGAATAATTTAATAAAAGTGCAATGTCTTATGACAACATTATTACATTTCTTAATCCGTGTGCAAAAACCTTAAACGACACTCATTTTGAAACAGATGAAGTATATTATTATAATTTATAGTGCATTCGGGTCAAAGAAAAGTGTGGCTAATTAGATCAATGAGCTGCAATTAGGCCATTGTGCCTGAGAAATGCATCTGGTGTTGGTTCTCTCCCGCGGAACTGCACAAAGACCTGCATAAAAGCCACAATGCATTACATTACATGTTCAACACATCAAATTGGTAAAATTACTAGTTACTCCACATACACATGTGATAGATTATTATTCATTTGTTATGTTTTTCTTGGGAGTATCTTGCATTAACAAACAAACTGCACAAATGTAATGTATATCTGAATTCTCACCTCCAGCGCTGGCTTGCCGCCTCCAAGAGCAAGAACAGTCTCCAGGAATTTGCAACCCGTTTTTATAACAGCCTGTGTAAAAGTAAATATGTAAGAATTAATAATTATGATCACAATCAAATAAGGGTCCACTCATTCTGCGACTATAATGATTGTTTACTCTAAAAATAAATATAATAAATCACAAAAAATATAGGATTTTGAGGATTATTGAAGACAGAAAGGTATGTATCTAGAGGCCTAAACAGAAAAGCAAATCCTTATTGACAGTTTTTCTTAATCTAATTAATATACCTTTTTATCATCCAATCCTGCATCCTCAAATGCAGAGAAAGCATCTGCAGACAGCACTTCAGCCCACAAGACAAACTTTCCATGAGAAACAAAATAAAGTGGACTTCATAGCCATGACGAGAGATCGTCAATTATACGAAGCAAAATGTCCATAATTATCAGATTTATCATAATATATCTTGTAGCTGTAGTATCCAGCTGCATATCCACCTAACAAATGCAAAATCCAGAAAGAAAAAAGTAATATGAGTTTTCAATTTTTATTTTTTGCTACTATTTATCCCATTGTTGTCAAACTTCAATGTTACATTAACTACTCTGTCAGCTATATCCTATCCTTATTGATCAAAGCTATTTCTTGGTTTGTGCAAATAACCTTAAAAGACATATATAAAGTAACGGATGGAGTAATAAACAAAGAGATATAAGAGGCACTGCAAACCTGCAAATATATGACTAAAGCTGCAAAGGAACCTATCCTCTGGCAATAGAGGAGTCACTTGAGTTTTCTCGGATACTCTGCGGTCAACATCATAGATGGACTCTGGTCCCTCAGGAACATATTTTGTATGAAGTTCCAGATCTACAGTTGCAAATTTTAACTGCAGGGAATATATTTACAATGTTAGAATCAATAGTCATTTATTTAACACATGCAACATAACACAGTAAAGAAAGGTTAGAATCAACAGTCATTTATTTAACACATGCAACATAACACAGTAAAGAAACTAAAGACAAGGGAATCTTGAAAGTTTACTAGCATATCTGAGTTTTCAAGATTGAACCCCCATTCTAAAGTTACAGTCTTCCTTAAAATTTAAAACAGTTAATCATTTGGACTGAGAGAAACTATTCCATTTTTCTATAAGTTACTTATTCAATTGTAGAATTTTAAACTTTCATTATCTTGATATGTTCCATTCAGGTTTTAGTCTTTAACATGAATGACTTCACACTTGAATTGAGAACAGGAGTTTCACAAATTAGGATGAAGGTTGCCCAAACTAAAGTTATCAGGAAATAAGAACTCTAATCCATCAATTATTCAAACGAAGAATCTTTGCAAGATATGTTTCATATCAAATTGTTAGAATATAAGAAAATATTTTATATATCACATCTTTGTCGGGTGATTAAGCATGAATGCATCTATTAAGTGGTTAAGCCTTGAGATACAGCTTCAGCTTTGATAATTTTGCTTATGTCTTGAGTGGATAAGACTAATCTTTTATCTTTTGTTAATAAAAGCAAAGCTTTGCTAGTTCATTCAGCAAAAAAAAAAAAAAGAATTAGATTGGTAAGCAAAATTCGAATACATATTAGTGTACTATCTTTTATCTTTTGTTAATAAAAGCAAAGCTTTGCTAGTTCATTCAGCAAAAAAAAAAAAAGAATTAGATTGGTAAGCAAAATTCGAATACATATTAGTGTACAACAGTACAAGTGTCAATGTGACCCTGATTTCCTCTACAAGGACAAAATTTGCTTTCAAAATTGGCATAAATATGACAATCCTAAGGTGCATCTACTACTTAATCTCGAAACATTATTCAATATTCACTGATAAATAGTGTCTCTACAGCTAAAATACCTCGTCACCCACTCTTGAATTTTAAGAAGCTGCATATGCTAATAAATGACTAGTCAAATTCCAGTTTCTTCAGCTTCTGCAACTGGCGTATGATATTTATGGAGGGCTTCTTCAGGGATCAAAACTCTGAAAACAGCATAATGATGATTTAAGCTCTTTTCTCCTTGTAATCTGTGAACACTGCCCAAGGCACCGGTTTTAGGGTTTGGAAAAGCATAAAATATTCGCCTAATTCTCTGATGAACAAGGGCCATGGCACACCTGACATTGAAGTGGAAAGCAAATATATCAGAAAACATATACTCCTACTTAGTAAGAGATTTTAACCATCTGAAAGTGACACTTGGAGAGAATTTCTTCATGTCATCTGTTACAAGGTACTTCAGGGAAAAGAAAAAAAAAGAGAATCAAAATGCTACTCACAGCTAGTTTCTTTTCCTCATATTACCTTCATAGACGGGTAACAAGACTAATTCAGACATTAAATAAATTCAACAGACAATGAAGTGTTTCAAAGTTTTTTAGAACAATCTAGTTCCAGTCTTACATTGTGCAAGGTTCCCAAGCAAGATATATGTCATAACCAGTGCATAAGTAAGGCCCTTCTGACAGAAGATTAGGATTCAATTTATCATTCTCCTCAATCTGATTGGAAGTTTGACTACGAGCATTCAATTTGTCATTATCCTCAACCTGAAAAGTCACACCAATATCAAATAAAGCTTTCTACTTAATACACTCAATTGGAAATAAACAACAAATTGTTTTTCTATGCATCTATATTGCCGGTGTTAAATTTGACGGGCATTTAACAGATAACTACTCAATCCATTACGTGTGCTTTTTGCAAGTACCAATATAGTCCATTATCCATTGTTATGTCTACAGGCCAAGTTCCTTACAAAATACTTAATATATCAGATGTATGTAGGTAAACTTACAGTTGCAGAAACAGTTTTCTGTCTCTTTGAAGGAGAGCTTGTACAATGACTTTCATGATCCAATTCCAAATATTTTTCTTTACTTCCCTCATCGTTGGGGAAAAGATGTATATCCCTGGCAGCAGATGATTCTATAGCTACAATGGCAGCATGTCGCAAAGGATGACAATAATATGAACTCTGTGAATGTGATTGCTGCTCAGCCCATTGCCCAGGATATAGGCAAGCAACACCTGTATATGGCTGTTTGAGATGATTGCAGGAACTTCTTAAATGCATCGATTTCTGAGGATCCAATCTATTGGAAATAGAATGAAACTTAAATAAATCTGGTTTTCCATAGAAGCTGTCATCTTTGCAAGTGTTCCAAGTAAAAATTTGATCACGTGCAGTTGAAATTATTTGCTTAACCGAAGGATCCACTATCACTGCAGCATTGACTACCTAAATTGATAAAGTTTTAGGTAAGCAGCAGTTGAATGTGAAATTGAATAGTAGGAAACTCTAACCAAAATAGCTCAAGTTGTGGCATAATCAGAAGAAATGAAGTAACGGAAGATAGGCCTGTCCGGTCAAAACACAATTTCTTGTCATAATTTGTATTAAAAAGGCCAAGTTTGTACATTTACCAAGCCATCAGATGTTGCCAACTCTACTGCAGATTGCATAAACTTCAAAACTGAATGTGATTCCTCCTCACTAAATCCAGTAATGCCATCAATGTTGCTGTAATTTTATTAAAATGCAAAGTCAACATCATAAGCAAAATCATCTATTATGTTAAAGACAAGTTTTTGGGTTTTTTTTTGGAAGGGAAGAAGGCCGAAGCCCAACAAAAAAAAACAAAAACTAAAAGCAAACACCCCAAGGAGTGGTTACACCTCTCCTGTCATCCTCTAACAGACTCGATAAAACAAAAGGTATAGAGTCAAAGATGATCATGCTCCAATTCCAGCTTCCATTACCATCTACAAGATTGCTGACTCTGAGTTCCATCAAGTCTTCAGGAATCTGAACATGATACTTCAAAATACTCTTCCCTGGCTCCAACCAATTATCACTCCAGGCCTTGATACGACTCCCATTACCAATACTCCACACTCCCACATCCAAGACCCTAGGAACACCTTCGACGATTTCTTTCGAAAGACCAGAATCAGCGCCTTTAAACTTGAGGTTTTCGAAGGTTTCATCATAACTATAACGGCTTTTCATAACCTTGCACCTCAGATCTTCTGCACTCGTAATGATTTTCCAGCTTAACTTCATTAAACAAGCGTTATTCATAACATCTAGCCTTTTCAAACCTAATCCTCCATGCGTTCTAGCCTTGGTTTTTCAAACAAACATGAAACTAAAAGATCTCGATGCACCAGATGGTCCTAACATGTCCAATACTTGTGCAGTCCAAATTATTGAAAATAACCCTACACTTTCCAATTCAAACTTCCCCAGTTTCTACCTATAGAACATACATCGCTTAGATCGTTACATAGAATAAATCTATTTTTTTTAAAACTACTGCATATCTAATACACCAGACACTATAATTACTGGAAACATCATAAAAAAGTAAACAAGTCTGGGTTATTCACGAAGACAGAAAACAATTACACATTGGATGCCATAGACACAAGGGTGATACATTTTGATCTATGTAGGCCCACTAGTGTAAATATTACCCACTACCAAGCCAACTAGACACAGTGTCTAACTTGTAAGTTGTAACTCTCATCTGATGGATATAATCTTTTGTATGTAGTCCCTGTGCATCTTCCAAATCACTTAATCAAATTGAGAATGTAATTCTTGGACTTGGAAACTCATTTAACAGTGCATGTGCATGTTTTAAGATATAGATTGTTTTATTCATCTGATATTCTGATGACAGATTTCATACTTAAGCTACTTCGAATTTCAAATACTCAAATGAAACCAACATTTTTGTAATTTTGATAAAAGCTCGCAATGGTATTCAAAATAAAGTAAATTAATAAGAGAATAAGAACTTGAAGCTTACTAAGTTCTTGGATGATATGACGTTGGCCAAAACTTGCATTGCTCTTGCCACTCTTCTTTTGATGTTGCTTCATATTTGCAGACCTAAAATAATTAAAAGTTGAATTTAGCGTGCAAACTAAACTAATTAACTTACAGACAACGAGGACCATAGGCCCTCGGGATCCCAACCGAAACTTTAAATGATCTCTTCAACTAATCAATAATATTACTTAGTTTTGACATGTAGTGGACCCTAAAAAAGGTATTGGAAAGCCATTTAAGTAATAATATAGTTTAGTCTTAAACCTTTGCATTATTAAAATTTGATAAACACATGGTAAAATTAAAACTCCATTCATGTAAATACTGCTTCTTTTCAATGTTGAGGATTTGCTGTCCCTTTTAAATGGATGATTAAGTCAGCAAGATGTAGAGGACCAAACAAGAAATCTTCAAGATTAAACTTCAATGATCACAGTAGTATCATACACTAAAATATAAAATTATTTACACAAGTGAAAATGAAAAGTAATTGACCACCCATAGTCTGATACCAGTACCACTATTAATTTCAGATAGCTTCCAGCTTCATCACAATTGAAAAAATCAAACTAAAATAAGTAATAACTCATCATCACTGCTATGTATCAATCCCAGATAACAGGAAAGAGCGGCCTTGCTCAAAAAATGCTGTAGTGGGATAACGAATAGCATTTGGCTGCAACCTCGACCTTTTGTTTTAAAAATTAATATTATATGCATAAAAACTCAACAACTAGCTCTGACTTGTGACTACTGATGTGGAGGTTAAAAATGCCAACGGGAGTGAAAGATGAGAAGCCTTGTTTGGGTAATTTGTAATTGCAAAATTTCAAAAATACCCACACCAAAAAGCGCCCTGCCCATCATAACTATTAAGAAATGAATATCTGATTTATTCTTCATCCTATAGTTTTTATGATCAAATCTTTCTTTTTTAAACTCTAGTTATTTGAAAGTCACATTGGACCTCTATCGATCTGACTCCAAGTCAAGATGGGTGGACCAACTTAAAGGGATCAAACCTCTCTCTGCGCCTATTTAATTTCTTAGTCTTAAGCTACTTAACAGAAAGCAATCTTCCAAACTACATGGATCAAAACACATAAGTGATAAAACCATAATCTAAGCAATCATTAGCATTAACTAATACGAAAAACAAAAAAATAAACGAAAACCCACATTTGTAAT